ACTTTCTTGAGAATAAATGACGTCAAAAAAGCCAGTTACAAAGATTGTACGAGAAGACATTTTTATATAATCTCTTTATACTATAATCATATTTAAAATGATTTTGAGTACATTTATATCAATTATCATGAATCCAATAAATTTTTTAAATTTTTTTAGCATTTTATAAAATATAAAAAATAATAGAAACTCATAAGATATTCCAATTTATTGTATCAAATTATATTACCGTTAATAAGCTATATCGTCGATAAAAATTGTTAAAGAAAAGTGAATTCATGACAACGAATTTAGATATTTATTGGATGATAACCAGAATGCTTTGAAAACAGGAAATACTTTTATATTTCGTCGATTACTACGAATCAAAAATATTTCATTGATAGCAATACATAACTGAGTATTATGAGTTGTAAAAACCTTTCACGAAATAATTGTTTTTGAGGACACACTTAAAACCGAGGCGAGGCGTTAACTTCTAAGGTCAAAACGTGCCTGGAAATTACTTAAAATTTGTTTGATTTCGGAGAAAGTACCCTTTATTTTATATGATTTCGGTTAATTCGCAAAAATATCCCTTATTAGATCATTGTATATCATTTCCTAAACTAAATTTCCTATGATTTACCTATAAATTTTCTACGTGAATATTTAAATTACTTTTATTTGAGAGCTCTTCGCTTGATTTTTGATCGACCTCAGTATTTAAATGCGAAGTAGACATGTGTACCCCACGTTTCGGTGGCATTATTTATAATCATAGGCTATGTATGCCTTATTGACTCTGCTTTCTAGGTGTGAGTTTTATGTTAACCTACTGAAAAATTAATTTTATGTTAGGAGATCTAAAGGTTTTAACTGCATTTCTTATTTTTGTGAAAGGACCATTTCGGATTTGTTGGAATTAATATACAGTGAATTGTCCTTGCACTTTTCTGTGATTTTGACAGATGCATTGTTTGGCAAAAAATATTTAAAATTCTCTGTTGCCAGAATAATCGAGCTATGTTAAAATCTTTGTAATTTTAGTGTTTCTACAGCTTTATGGAACAAACAAAATTTATAATACTGCTAATAATATGGCTTTCTTTTAGTATTTGCATGATTATTGAGAACATAATTATTATCTGGCTAAATGATACTTTTTTTTATTGTCTAGACAAAACAGCAAAATCTTTTAAGGTCCATTTCGGTAGGCGCGACAGACGACCGCCGACGCGACATACGACCACCGACGCAACCAAGAAGTGTCGCTTCTAAAATACATACAACTATATGAAACACATTTCGCACGGCGAGACACTTCCTGTCGACACTTCTCGGGGCAAAGCTTTGCTGCTTGTCGCACTCGGGGTCACTGTCCTCGGCACCGCTTCTTTTTGGGGGGTGATTAGATTCTTTCGATCTAGGCAGCGTTGCCAGATTTTGAAACAGTATGGGTAAAAAAAAACCGTAGATCTGAACAGTAGATTTTAATAAAGGGGAAATAATTATAATTTGCAGTGTAGTAAATAAAAAAAAAACAAGTATATAAGAAACGAAAAATAAACTTTTTTCTACCCAAATTAGAAAGTAAACAAAGAATAAAAACATTTTTAATATATACTTAACGTACGGGGAAAAAACCAATGAAAAATAATAAGTACCTACTTTAGATCAGTCTGAATTAGATAATTCAAAATCGTAATGTTTGGCATATGCATGTTCTTTTTATGATGTCCTGTTAATTCTTTGTTTTATTTTAAATAAAAACAATGATTATCTTGATGTTTTTTTTTTATGGAGCCAACCTACAGTAGTGGATGCTTATTACGCTGCTTTTACTGCAGAAAATTTACTAGAGAAAATATTCATTACCTATTTGCTGAAGAATGAGGCAAACTTAATAAATTAAGAACAAAATTTGCTAGAGACAAAAACAGTAGATCTACGTGAAAACAATAGGTCTGGCAACGCTGATTGTTCCCTCGAATGGTTATTCCTGTATATGTCGCGCGACACTTCAAGCTTGCCAAATGTACGAAGAGTAACATTTATGCACCTGTTGTCCTACTCGACCTTGGGGTCAGTTCAGTGGTCGCTTGTCTCCTGACGCGCCTACCCAAATGGTACCTTTACTATTCTCTGAAAAGCAGGTGCCACTTATTTTTTATATTTGTTCACTTATTTAAAGCTGACCTTTTTAGACCATACACTCACATACAAATGGGAAGTAATTGAACAAATATAAAATACAATATGAAATGGTGTGGGTGATACCAAATGTAGTTGTTTTAATTTTTTTTATAAATATTTTTAATGGGATAATACTATTGAGTAAAATTATTGATTTATAACAACACTATATAGTTTTCTGATTTGTAGAAATATATTTCGACACTACATTATAGTTTTTATCAGATAAAAATTGCTATTGACACTAATATTTATATAACTATTTTTTAAAGCGTAATTATGACGTTGTATTTGTATAACCAAAAAGTTCTAAAGGTGATCCAAAGGAACAATATATAATCACTATAAAGCAATTTAATTTTATTACCTGAAATGTTGCAAAGTATAATTGTATAAATATTTATGTAACAATTTTATAGTTATCGTCAAAACTATTTTATATTTTGGTGTAAGAATATTGTAAAAAATAATTAATATAACAATTTAGTTTCAGAGAACAGAATAGTGGTTTCTGCAATTTTAATACAACAAATTAGCATTCCAGAAACATCAATATAATATCAATAAAATACGACTTTTCTAATTTATTCATTCGTATACTCACATTATGGCTATTATACTCACTGTAAAAATTATATCAGCAATTTAAGATATTTAAAAATACCTACATAACATAAAGCAAATATTTAAATAAGCTTTTCTTTACAAATGACGCCATACGAAATAATATATGAATCGCTAACTGCAATAAGGGAATTTCTGCTGCAATCCAAATTATTCAGTAGAAGTAAAAAACTTTTTAAACGCGGTATAACTGTAATTGCGAACAAAATATTGGGGTACAAATTTACCTTTTAGCATGTTAGTCCTTCTAATTTTTGTTTTTTTAGTGATTTTTGACTTATCTGCCTCTGTATATTTTGTAGAGGTCTCCTTTTTGCAGTTAGCCCATTTTTAATAAGTATTTCTGAAAAAATTGGCACGTATTTTGAGTGAAAATGCTTTATTACTCACAAAAATAGTAAAATAAATGCAAAATACATGCCAACAGTCTAACATCAAACCAAAATATTTAATGGATTGTAATGGTTACTCGGCTTCTACTCCTCTTCTCATGGTTGGCCAAACAAGAAGTCCATTATAGAATTCAACATATTCTTCCGGAATGTATTTTATCATTTTCTTAAAATCTTCAACTTTGGCTTTCATCAGTGTTTTATTGTCAGCGTAGGCTTACCAAATTTTAAAACAACATTTTCTCTAAAATATCTCTAGTAAAATTCATATGAAATTTTGTGAGTGGGATATAGATCTTTGTATATTTTGTAAATTTTTAGAACATCCAAGGTAGCGTCAAGGTCTTCGTATAATATGATATTTTAGTTGGATAGGAGGTAATATGTTCAATTACTTTGGATAAAATTTCAGAAGAGATAGCATTTGCACTCCGTTATTTGCCTCGTAAATCGCGGGGTTTCTCCGTTCAATAATAAATTGTCCACGCGCTCAGTTCTCTTTTTTGTAATACTGAATTTCATTAGAAATTATTTTTTACAAACAGCAAATTTATTACCCCTTTGGATCAGACCATACCACAAGTTTTTGGTTCTTGTTTTTTTGCTGTTAACTTCTGACACACGTCACATTCCATTAGCCCTTGTAAATAGATATCTTGCTTATTATTACTTTCTAATTGATTGAATTTCGTTAATAATTCTATTTTCTCGTCCTCTCTCAAACCGTCCAGGCACCTGAATTTGCATCTGAAAAGAAAATAAATTGAATAAAAATAGTTCCAGATAATGAAGTAAAAAGCCATTAGCAGAAATTATAGTTAAATTATCAGTAACTAATCAAAAATAATAAAGATATGTAACTTCATAAAGTTTTTTAGGTTTAGATATGTCACTTACCCACATTATGTTGCTGGAGTTCTAGGTGGCACGACAACACCTTTAGTATTGACAAAAGTCACTCTTCTTACTTTGGATTCTTGCCTAATATTTCTTTTATACTGATCGGCATTAACTATGCCTCTTTTTTTGTTTAACAGGAAGCGAATCACTTTGCATAGTTATTATAAAAGCACTGTACTGCAACCAAGTTGCAGCTATCGAAAACTTCTCATTTACTTGCTATAAAGACATGGCAGAGATCTCAATCTTACTGTAAACGGTGGGTCTAGGTGTCAAGAATGAAAATTCGCATTGAAACAATTTTCGCAAAAAATGTCGGAAGTCCCCTTTCTGCTGTTCTGCGATTCATATGAAAAACCTATAAGATAAAAATATCAATTTAAGTAAGAGTTACCTGTAATCTAACAATTTGCCTTGAGTAGGATAAATGCAGTACACTTCGTCGTAACTGTCAAATAAATATTAGTCAATTAAAATAACTCTTGGAAGATACAGAACCAAAAATACAAACTTCCTTCATTACTTAGGGGTGGCAAATTAATTTCACTAAATTTATTTGTTGTCTAACGTTTAAAAAAGCAATACCCTTTAATTTAATTATCAATTAGGCATTCCAAACAAAATGACTGTCGTGAGAAGGGTTGTTATACCTAAGGGGTTGCGACATATGATGTATTCTATCTATTACATAAGAAATCATGATTAATGGATTAAATTTAAACATTTAAACATTTTGGTGACTACTATTTTGAATAAAAATAGAGTCCAAGATGGACCGCTATGTCTCAATCTCCTTAGATATACGAGCCCTTCCCATCGACAGCTATCGTTTAACAGGTCGTTGAAATGCCTAATATTGTGGTACATCATCGTAAAAACTAATTCAAAATGTTTCTTTTTTTTTTCTAGCACAACTTTAGTTTTAAAAAATTATGGGCCTTTACTGGACCAGGATTTCTCATGTCCATTGCATATCTAGATCCTGGTAATATAGAAAGTGATTTACAATCAGGAACAGTTGGAAATTATAGGCTTCTATGGGTTCTTTTCAGTGCCACAATCTTAGGATTTTTAATGCAAACGCTTGCAACAAAACTAGGTAAGTTTATTTAAATATAACGGTTTCATTTTATTTATTATTCTTGTTTAAATTTTAAAGATTTGATGTATATTTCAATATTTTTTTAATTATTCCTCCAGAGTTTCAGTAAAACTATTCAAACTCGTTATTTTAGAATATTTAAATTTTATAACAGTAGTTCTTTTTATTTTTAATGTTTTTCCAATAATGTTCTGTACTTTTATTTGGTGTTTAACTTTTCTAAGGACAATCCTTAAAATTTTTAGATAATTTTAGCTTATTGGGTCTAGCTAGTATACAATTTTGGGACTTGTTTTTTATTTACAGGTGTTGTCACAGGTCTCCATCTAGCAGAAATGTGTTTCAAACAATATAAAAAAGTTCCTCGATTAATTTTATGGATCATGATAGAAATTGCCGTCATTGGCTCCGATATGCAAGAAGTTATTGGCACCGCCATTGCTCTCTATTTACTATCAAATAAACTGTGAGTAATGTTTTTGATATAGAATATATCTCAGAAATAAGTGCAAAAATTTTAACTACGTGTCTAACTCGTCATACTAAATAAATTTTATCAAATAAATTCTTTAGAGAACTTCCTTGAAATTTTTATCAATAAATTTGATAGACAGTTTAGATTTTAGATTATAAGTATTTTGCTTTACTTTCTAGATACCGATAAAGTGAGAATTTAAATTTGAACTTGAACTATGTGGAAGTTATGACATAAAATGCATGATATAGAATACATAGTTACTGAAATATGAGTTTTGAATATTGCAATAATGATACTAGTAGATAACACTCCTTTACAAATTTAAATGATTTGTACAGATTGAATTATATCAAACATTAATTTCAAGTAGATGTTAAAAGATAAAGCTCTCAAGATATATAAAAAATCAAAATTATCCGCACATTTTGATTATTATAAAGAATGGCGAAATTATAGGTATTACAGCAGATATTAAAATGAAAAAAGAGCCTATCTTTCAAATTAGGTAACACTGAAAATAAAGTAAAATGGACAGAGTTTAAGGAATTAGGTACAGGGTGTTCAAAAATTTCATATACATGGAGCTAGCACAGATTTAAAAGCTCAAAATAAATAGACCTAACCAAACCAGATTAAATAATAACATTTCTTTCTTTAATCTCCAAAATTCAGCCATCAAGATCAAACTTGCTACGAATACCAGGTCAATTAAAAGCTGCAGGAACAATTTTTCTATAGCGATCTAAGCGGTTTATTAGGAGGAGGGCAACAGATATTATCCTAATTTTTTTATTTTGTCACTTTTTACCATTTCTGGCATTAAAATAAAAAAATATTAAGTTTTTACTCAAAAAAGTTACTCTTGTTAGATGTCGCCATCGTTAACCCTTTAAAAAAAATTATAATTCATCATGGTACAAATTAAAAACCGTGTTGTACCTACCGTGTACTGAAAAATAAAAAAGGAATCGCCAGAAATAATGTCATTGGAAGGAACATGCTCATTTATACAGATAGCAGATACACACTATTCACCCTGGACAGATCACAAATTTACTCAGGGTTAGTACTAGAATGTCACGAAGCTTTAGTCAAAGAATCAATCAACAATGTGGTCAACTTAAGATGCATCAGAGGTCACGCCACATCGAAAACTTTTTGGACCTGTCCCCTTCTATTGGAGTGATATAATATCGGTAGTGACAAACCTAATTAAAGAACATTCATTTGTGAAATTCAAGGAATTATGGGATAAAACAAGAAGCTGCAGACTTGCCAGGGAGCTTTCAAGTTATTCTGACAACACTACAGCAGACAAATACTTAATACTTGACTATGACTAGACAGAATCTGCGCCTGATCACAGATATTCTGACTGGTTATTTCCAAGTACGAAAGCATCTCCATATCATGGATCTATCAGAATCAGGGGGTGCGAACAAGAAGATGAGACCATCGCCATCCTGTACGATTGCCCGACGCTCTCATTTGTTAGAAGATTTGTGTTCGGCGAAAATTAGCTAACACCAGCCGATATAAGGGAAGCACCTTTTTAGCGACGTTGTGAACTACATTAAATCTGTAGGCTGGCTAGGAGGTGCATAGCTACTTAGGAGGATGTACAAGGGCCTAGTGTTTTCAAATGTGACCAATTTAGAAATAAAAACAAAAAAACGAGAAAACTACAAAGTTCGTATCACAGAAACGTCCAGCAACCATTTTCTTCCTGAAAACAACTACTCATTTGACTAATACGAACTAATATGAACATTAAAAATACAAGACAAATAATATGACTTAAGGAGTATCAAGCCGGTACTTCTGAGAAGGGAGATCGACCACGTTGACTGTGCTTTGCCACAATCTGTACTCTCAGACTGTGACTGTGAAACACCATCAGACAGTGTTGCCAGTCTAGTACAATTGTACTAGATCTAATCCATTCTCTGGGAATCTGGTACTCTAGTACACTCAAAGCAAAATCTAGTAATTTTCTTTTTTCAGCGTATGCTTCCGTTTGACTTCTCAAAGTTATAACCACTATCTGCTGCCCTTAAACATACACAAATAAGTCTTAATCTTTTATAAAGTCAGTTTCAGAACATAAACAATCTGCGCATGCTCAGATATCAAAATAAGAGCGGTCAAAATAAGACTAACCTTAAATGAACTTGCAATATCTCTCTAATGTTGAGGTCTTCCTTGTTTATTGTCTTTGCGTTCTCTTTTTTTTTCTCTTTAAAAACGATACTTCACAATTCGAAAAATCTGGTACATTTTATAGAATCTGGTACTTTTTTATGGGATCTGGTACATTTTTATGGATTCTGGTACATTTTTATGGAATCTGGTACATTTTTATGGAATCTGGTACATTTTTATGGAATCTGGTACATTTTTTAGACAAATCTGTTACATAATAAACATATATTCTGGCAACACTGCCATCAGATCATACCTACGAACAGCCGGGGATCTACACGTCGTTGTCTATATGTGCTGATCTCCCTGACCAGAAGCGACTTTAGGTAAATACTGTTATAGAATTTTGAACAGTAGAAATAGATAATTTAGGCACGGTAATGTTAGCCACAAAAGCTGAGAATCCTAGTGAGAACTAGGAGAACAGTGATTTGAGAAAATCACTGTTACTTTCACGTCATTCCTAAAAATATAATTTAACATCCAAACACACAACCAATGCTATATTTGAATTTGTTTTTCTCAAGTGTGAATCTCATATCAAAATTTTACAAGTACATTGCTAAAAAATATACTATTGATTGAATTAACGCAAGAAACTGGAATAACGAAATCAAACAGCCGGTCAAAAATTTGCCTATTCGACAGCAACCTTTATGACGTGGTAGGTGGCCGAGTCCTAGTGCTGCTTACCACTCACTTGTTTTATCTATTAAGATTAAACTTTCATTCCTTAATTGAATCTTAGATAGTTTTTAAATACAATATTTTCTGAGGTTAACCAGTATTAAAAGAAGTAAATTAATAACATTACTCAGCCAACTTTTCTTGTGATAAAAGAAAGTGTTATTTAAATCAGCAATCACCTATTTCGTTTAATCAATAATACAAATCTTAAGAATCATCATCAACCAGTCACCCAAAGATCTACAAGGTGTGTCACAACACAGGTAATCAAATTCTACCGCAAAAAGGGTGAATTGAACCAGCCTCAGTAAGATCACCTCTTTTCAAATACAGTTTGAAAAGATATAAAGATACTCTGCCTTTTCAAAAATTTTCTTCTCCTCGAATAATTAACTTTGATGTAAAACACCGTGTACGATCGTTTTGAAGTCTTGTAGATCTGATGAATTCCTTGATATATTTTTAAAATTTTTTTTCGAGATGTGATATTAGTTTTTCATTATAATTTATTTAAATTTTAATATATTTTAGTATAAAACTACTAGTATAAAAGTTCTATGCTAGTTGAGATTATGTGACCAATAGAAAATTTCTGACATTAATAAAATAATTTTGACTACAAATTATTAAATTTAAATTAAAAGAACTGATCATTAACATTTCTAAATTTAAGAAATGAATCGAGAGAGTATTTAACTCAACCTCATCATTTCTAAATTTGTTTTATAAAAATAGTCTAAAAATAAACTTGAAAGTCAAATCAAATCAATTAATTATTATTACCCTGTGCAATGTTATTATATCTATCAATAGTGATTGGGCACAAAAAATCAAAATACTCAACTTATGGTTGAAGAGGTAGACAAAGTTGTTGACTTGAGTTTGGAAAATTTTGAAAGCTAAAAAAAAGTTTTTATATAATAAGAAAATACAAGTTTTGAAATGGAAAAGAAATAAGTAAATTAGGTAACTATCTCATAAAATATAAGGAAGACCAATTGGAGAGTTGAGGTAATAATTTGTATATTTACGTATAGTTCAACAAAATACATCATTGGATTGAATGACGCCATTTGCATTAGCAATTATGCTGTACACAGGACTGGGGATATTCACATTAGGCTGTTCTCTCTTAAAAAAGGTTTCATTGGAAGAAATCTCTTATAAAACACAAGACATTGTAAGTTTTGCTAAATTATTCTAATAAGGAAGAAAATTCATTTACATTCATTGAAATACCATAGCTAAAAAGTTTAAAAACTTTAATAAAATTGTGTATATTCTATTTGATATTTTTCTGTACTATTTACTATTTTCTAACGAGAGACGGTGAGGACATCTAACTGCAATTTACGAAAATATTAAGAGCGATATCCATTAGGAAACTAACAGCAAATTCAGGTTGAGAACGCACTGACAACTTTCAGTCCATCTGAACACACTTTGGCAACGTTGCTTAAAACCTAGACTTACACTTCAATTTATTACTTAGATAAATCGCAGATCCGGTCTTACAAGAAGTATTTTTTTGTTTTCCTCGTTTGAAATATTTTTTAAGGTATAACTTGGTGTAACATTTTCGAAACGAAAGTGTTTTTTTTTGTCAACTCGTTTTTCATAGTAGTACCTACCTAGTAAACGATTGCTTTAAAAAAAATTTTAATATACCTAATTGATCATCAAAATACTATTGGCACATTTTAAAAATTAAATTGAAAGTAAAAAATATAATCTTTTATTAATAAAACTATTTTTTTCTTACTAAATAATTTATTTACGAAATATATTTTAAAATATACATGTACTACTCGTAGTATTTCCTATGAGTATTTCGGAAACATATCTAAAAAGTATTTCTACATTTTCTTAGTTTTATATACAGAGTGTTTGTTGGTAAGTGAGAATAATTTTAGGGGGTGGTTGCCGAAGAATTTATTTTATAAAAAAAAACGTAGATCGAAAAAGTCAGTTTTTATTAAAAAAAGTTTTGGCAATCTCGCACGAACGTCACTGGTGCCAGTACAAATATTTGAAACACCACATTTATTCCTTCAAATTTTTTTTGAAAATTTCGAGTAAATATCTTCGAATCTAAACATTTAGGAAACGACCTACTTTTATTAAAACTTTTTTTAACAAAATAACTTCGATATCCAGCCATAAAAAGATTTCGTATTTATTTACAAATTCCCTGTATAAAAATACGTATTACAATTAATCCATTTAATACTAGTTTGTGCAACAAGAGTGGATATGGAAAATCTACTGGAGTTGTGCAGTATATTTTTTCTACGACCCACTAACGAAAATCTGCAAATTTAAAGAATTATTTTAGGATAAGACAAAATAACCGATTTTAAAATAATTTATGACTTTTACTAATTTATAAAATAAATATGAAAAACATTTAATTTAATTAGTCCCCAGCCCAGATTTCAACTCAGGCCTCTCGCATGGAAGAAAGATGTCGTATCCCAACTCCACCTCCACATTTATGATTTTAGTTTTAATAGTCGTAAATAAATTAGTTTTATATAGTTTAAATAAAATTTAAGATTTATTTGTAAATGTGGACGAAATAAAAATAGAAATGCTATTTCTTATCGATTCTAGACAAGAATAACTTATTTTTACGTATATTTAATCTCAATAATTCAAAAATATACCGACAATTTGACATAATTGTTACTTAAATGAAATTTTAAAAATAATAGTTCCAGGGTTATCAAAATATAAACTGATAGGTGAATTTAATTTTTTTGCAGTGTTCTTAGTAGGTAGAATGGATATGACATGTATTTGTTCATTTGAACGCAATTGCATACTAATATCCATATGGGTGTATGTAGAAAATAGTAATTTGTATAACAAGAGTAAATATGATGGTCATAATACTCATAATTAAATTGATTCGATATAGTTTTATTAAAATTTATAATTTATTTGTATAAATCAAATAAAAATATACACAAGTATAACTCATTTTACGCAATAGCATACTTTTTCGTTTTGTAGTTTGTACGTAATCCATTTGGGTGTAGAAAAATTGTTTTCTAGTACTAAAAATATATAAAAATAACAATTAAAAAAGAAATAAAAATTATTTTTATTGCCTATTGGTCCGATATCTACTCGGATTTCTAATATCTAAACCTCTAGTGAAAGGTTGATCTCGGGTAGTATACAATCTAATTAAAATTGCTTTAGTTTGATTTCCATTTCAGTACACCAAAATATATTATCTCTTTTTATATTCCTTATATTTTCCCGTATATAAATTTTCTCTAATTTTTGTTTGTACTATATCTCCCCAAAAGTAGTATAAAAATTTTTCACGAAAATCTTTCACACCCTCGCTAACATTCCACCTCTTGTCCTCTAATAGTTTTTCCAATCCATTTCTTCCATGTTTCTGTTTCTCCTCATTCCTCTATGTTCTCTTGTATTCCCTTTATACACTTCACAGGATGAAGTCTATTATCCCAAAGAATCGTAAATTATTTTCGTTCTCATTTCTCATAACTATAATTTTCTGTCCACTTGAAACTTGATTTTTGTTTAACCTGTTTTCGATTTCTTAAAAAGATTCTGTGCATGGCTTTTTATTTTATTGAATATCTCTTTTTAGTTCTTCTTGGTTTCTATATACTGTCACGTAAAAGCCTACCCTGTACTTTGTTTACCCCTTGCCCGCGGTATGAAGTCTAGCGACGCGCTGGCAATAAAGAGACAAACATACCGCTTCGAGAAACTGCCAGAGTGATCCCTATGGCGGCGTCTGAGTCCTAGAGAGGTAGTTCTCGATTGTTATACAGAGTTGCGCTTTGTATAAATAGCGCGAGTTATCAACAAACGGGAAAATTGAATTTAAATGTTGGACAAAAAAGATAAATTGTAATAAATAAATTAGAATTGTGAGTTATAATAGTGCATAAGTATTATATAAATTAATTAGTACGTCATAAATAAATTGTAAATAGTGTGTTTTAAATAAACTATAAATAAATTAAACAAACGTAACACTACTCCATTAATTGCAAAGTCTATGTCTTCCCTATTTTTTATTATTTATCTTTCTGTCTCTTTTTTTTTGTTTTTCTAATGTCATTTCAACTATTTCTATTTCTCTTTTCATTAAAATTATTATTTTTTCTTTATTATTTTTGAATTGATTTCTCATATCATTCCTCATGTCTCCATTTCATATTATTTTAAACAGATAAGTAATTTTTATAAAATATTAATCTTTGATAATAAAAATTAAAAAATGTAACTAACAAGAATAACAGTAGCACACCAACAGAATATAAAAATATATAATTTAAAAATATTATTATTAAATATCATTAAAATACAATATAATATGTATATTACAAATTTATTTTAGTTAAAACGTAATGGATATAAAAAATCCCACAATATATGGCTGGGAGCAGATCAATATAATTAATATAAATTAGTGTATAAGTAAATGCCCATATAAATTAGTACAGTAATTGAGTATAAATAAATTAATCAGTGTATATATTGTATTTTTTTTTCTTTTAATATATTAGACACTGCGTACTTTCGACTGCTTTAATGATATAGCACCTTCACCATATTTATGTCCTTCGAAAGTCAGACTAATTGATTAAAAGGAAATTGTATGTAATGATAGTAATTTTAATTTTCAGAATACCATTATGGCTGGGCTGCCTTATAACAATATTTGACACCTTTACTTTCCTTTTCCTCGATAAATATGGACTAAGGAAACTTGAACTACTCTTCGGTTTCTTAATAGCAGTAATGGGAATAACCTTCGGATACGAGTACATAGTAGCTCAACCTCCAGCACTGGAAGTCAGCAAGGGGCTCTTAATTCCTATGTGCAAAGATTGTGATTCTGAAGTTATTCTACAAGCTGTCGGCGTAATCGGTGCAGTCATAATGCCTCACAATCTTTACCTGCACTCAGCACTGGTCAAAAGTAGAGATATAAATAGATCGAAACCTGCCAAAATAATAGAAGCAAATATGTATTATTACATTGAAAGTGCAATAGCATTAGTATGCAGTTTGATTATTAATATTTTTGTAGTTTCAGTATTTGCTTTTGGACTTTTCAAAACGACGAATAGTGATTTGGTAGGTTTCATAAAATGGAGAGGATCGATATCAAATTTATTGTTTTTTTTTTTCATTGCAGGTGCAAAAATGTCAAGCAACAGAAAATGATTATTTAATAGGTTTAGCTAGAGAAGAATTTGGTGTAAGTATTTTCGAAAGTTTAATAAAATTTGTGTACAAAATATGTGGTTAGTGTCCCGTATTCAGATAAAACACTATTAGCATCTGAAACTTGACTTTAAATATGTTTTAAAGTACTTGGTGGAAGTTTTAAAATGAGGGCCACTAAATAAATTTTCATAGAATATATTTAACTTATTTAGTTTTCCAGCATAATAATGCAAAGTTTTCACAACCTGCGTAATAAAAAAGTAGAACCAAAAATACTATTTTTAAATGTCCATAAAATGAAATGTATATAAAAAAATTGTCTAATATGGTTTTTATTTAATGATTTTGTATGTAAGTTGAATATGAGTTCCTTCCTAAGTTATGGAATCCTAACTCTAAGAATTGAGGAATGTTAAACCCTTCACCCTCAATTTAAGTCTTATGTCACGACAATGAAAATTAATAATTTATAATGTTTTCTCCAATGTCAATAGGATTGTTATAGACTAAACTTTTTAAATATCAGATGAATGAGGAGGTAAAGCAACTGTTCCTTCTCTTTCTGTCTATCGATTTTCGAAGTTTATGTTTAGGTGTACTAGACTAAAATGTGGCAAGGCTTTATCATGCATGAATAACAAATCAAGCCGTATTACAAAAGCTAGATCTTCTGAAACACTGGAACTTGATTAGAAGCAATTCCATATAAAGTTCTTCTTGGCAATACGAATTGTTCAATTAAATTCCGCATGTAATATACTGAATTACTGCTGTTTTATTGAAAACATTATATACCACGTTGATAGCAAAGATTGTCTCTGAAACATAAACGCCAATGCAAATGAAATAATGTCGTAAATACTATGAAAATAATCCAATGCATTTGTACAAACCATAGGTAAACGTATTCTAGGCAAAATTAAAAGCATTACTGCACAAAAGAGATTAAGATATTAAAGTAAATGTAAAAACTATTGTCATATACTGAGACATTCAAGCGACTTTAAAAGCACTCAGTTCCATAAAGATGCCCTCAAAGCTTGCGTGGGACTGTTTGGAAGCTCTAACAGAGCTGGGTAGTCAAAACAGAGTAACCCCAGCCTGAGTACCAGGCCATACAGGACATATAAGAACAACAAAGAGGCTGATTTACTAACTCGAGGATCCTCAAAGGCCCTTATTGGCTCAGAACCCTTCTGTGGTGTTACAAAGACAGCTATCAGAACATTAACAAATCAGTCAATGCTACAAAATCTTAAGAATGGAGGAAGAACAAAGATAGACCAAAGGGTTCTTAAATGACCATCGCCAAAACTCACCGAGCATCTACTAAGCCATTAGAGTATTAGTAGGCTTATTAAACATGACATTGTAGTCTACCAGGACTAAAATTCCTTATACTTGAAGAAGAAGAATCAATGACAACTGGCTACGCCGAAGTACTGCATTCCAGTCTTTGGAGGACGAAACTAGACAAGGTACTCTAAACAGCGATTGAAGGACATCCACAATAGATTTGTATAGGTCGAGGTGGTCTTATTCTCCATTCCGACCTTTCACTGTTGGCTCTAATTAACAGTGTCGATCGTACTGTAGGTGTGTAAAAATATTTGAGTACTAGCACTCCTACATTATGGAGTAATATAGTTCTAACACTCCTTAATCTACGCAGAACGCGAGGATAATGGTGACATATCTCAATGTTGAAGACGTTAATATGCTTACCAAAAGTTATTCTGTTACAGCCCAACGTGCGGCTCTTTCGCAGTTAGCAATGAGCGCTATTACTACTGCATTGTTTACCGCGGTACAGCAGCTACCTCAACTGTAACGTGGTAAACATTGTATTTACGCTTTCAGTCCATGCGTTGATGAGTTTAAACTGTTGCCGATGATGTAGAAGCGTGGAGAGTTTGGTATACCCATAAGTGCAAATTATGGAAGGTTATCATGGACATTAGAAAATCCAGTCTCGTCCATAAAAATAACTGAACCTATGTAATTTGCTTTGCTTTTGTGCCGCAAATTTCTTCCTTCGCAGAATGTCTTCAGGATGATGCACCTAGGTTTTTCAAACGTATGATATAGATGGAATAGCTGCTTTCTTATGAATTATAAAGACAGACAATTTTGGACAATCAAACTGGACAGTTAATTTTCGGACACTTGGAGAAGGATCCGCTTCTACGGGAGTTAGGATGTTTTCTTTAACATCCTTACCGCGACCTATGGCTGACTTTGTCAAACCTTCCTAAAATTGTAAAATCTTTTTTATTCGGCTAATACAAGTACAAATAAAACGTCTTAGATTTTACTTGTCTCTCTTAAACGACGATCTACTCATTCAAAGTTTTACCAGGAATTCTTCGACCTGGAAATCAGTCGTCATAAAGTCTTTTGGCTTCATAGTGCAAGCCCATACATTACCTAAATGCGTGACGGCAATTTCAGTAAACATAAATTCTATTACTAACTTACTAATTAATAAAAAATAAGGAAAAATTAACATTTCAATATTTTTATCAAAATCAGTAAATCTCAAAAAGGAAGGAATTTTATCTTCATAAACAACAATTAATCTAATGAATCATAATAAACAAAAATACTTTTTTCAAAAACGGTTCATTTTATCTATTCAATTTAAGCGTCAAGCGCTCCAAAAATATACAGCGTCTAAAAAAGATAACATTGTTGTATTAAAGATATTAATCATATCAAAAATTATTAAATTACTTTGAGTACTTTAAAAATTATTTAATAAAAGTATATTTCCGTCTGTTATGGGCCCGTATATCCATATTAGGGTAGGATATTGCCCACATATTCTATATATTTTGGGTTGGAGTGAATTACTTAATCAGTTGATAATATAATATGTACACGGTCTAATCAAAATTACTAGGCTGATCCCTTATTTACTTGCAAATATTAAGCTTGTGTTAAATGTTAGGAAGACAGAGCTATTGACTCGGTTGTCGCATAAAAAGATCAAGGCGTGGGGATAGTTTTTGCGAGCTTGTTTATCAGGGGTACGAGCACGCGTTTCATGGAAGAACTAGCTCGTATGATTGTATTTTCTGCTTAATCGCTTAATCAGATGATAATCGAATACGGTGGCGGCTCGTGGGGGGTTCACAGTGACAGAATATAGGTATCAGTACAGCTGTATGAAAAAAACTTTCAGTGTTTTAGAAAGTTAATATACCTTTCTAAAACACTCACAGTTTTTTACCTATATCTGTACCGGGATCTATATTCTGCTACTGTGAACCCCCAAAATTTTGGTCACAAGCCGCCCCTGATCTAATATGTACACAGTCTAACCAACAACGAAAAAATACTAGGCTGATTCCTTATTTACTTGCAAGTATTAGGCTTGTGTTGAATGTTGGGCAGACACAGCTATTGGATCGGCTGTCTCATAAAAAGATTAAGAAGTGGGAATAGTTTGTGAGAGCTTGTTTATCAGAGGTGGGAGCACGCGTTTTATGAAAGAACTAGCTCGTATGACTGTATTGTCTGCTTTATACAGTTGTCATACTGTAAAATAAATGGTATACTTAGCTGTAAATCATTACAATAATAGTTTGCAACCTGAAAATGATATTAAACATTATGCAAATGTAATTTTAAAACACCGACGCCATAATCTTTCGGACCGATGGATTTAGAGCCTTATGTTAAGTAAATTTTGAATTATAACCATACACAACCCTTATAACAAGACCCTCTCATAATAATTTGGGAATTGCGTGGATAACACTATGAATGCTTGTAATTTGATTTTTAAAAACAAAATTGGCCTATAGTTTATTTGAAAATGCATAATAGCACAGTTTTTGTGGCAAAAGTCTATATACAGGATTGTTCAAAGTAGAAAAACAGAAAATATTGATAACTTCTTATCTGAATTTTCACTAGACTTTAGTATGAACACTCCGAAAAATCTCGAATACAATACATCATACAATTTAATGAGCAAACCATAAAGAAATCACAATTTAAAAATCTACATATGTGATGACAATGGACATCAATCTAATCAAGTGATTATGTTACTAGTAAAAATATAATTGATAATTGATACAAATTAAACTACCAGTAATATCAAGCGAACGCCAATATTGCCAACTGATGAACTGATTTTAAAACAAAATTATCTGAAATTAAAATCAAATCAATATAATTAAATCGGTTTTATACGAATCCTTAAATAAATATAGAGTATGATTACATATTGGTAGTTAAAAATTTTGCTACTTTCTACTGCCACAAAGTATAAAAATCCACTGAAGTAGCGACATTTCGTTACTGTTGGCAACACTGCAAAAGGTCTAATTACAGACACCTTTTTCAAATTTCCTCCAGAGGGCGTATCGCTTTGCTTGAATCACGGATAAGATATTTTCACTATTTGCTTCTAACGTTGATAAAAAAGAGTGTAGCGTGACCAGTACCTGAACATTAATGTAAAGATAAACGATGTGTATTTCATTCTCTCTGTTGGGATCTGGCCGTTAAAGGCATTTCAAGCCTACGTTAGTTTGTAGTTTCTTATATACTGGAAGGACAAAATTATAAACTGAGTGGGAAATTGTCCAAGCAAATAAATCTTAAAATATGGCCAGGCTCCCGTAATATACATCAAGGATAGAATACTGTAATAAATACAGTTCATGCTAGCGAAAGCACAATCATATGCTGCGTTTGAATATCCACATCGGATGCATTTTTTACATCTCGAGCGTATGTTTATTCACATCGGACACATCTACTACATTTACATCTGCATTTGTTTATCCGAGATGTAGCTGTCCAGATTACATTTTTTATATCTTGATTTGAAATGAGATGTGAATGAGATGTTCGTTCCATGCCAGAAAGTAGGTGTTCTGTGAAGTCAAGTTTATCGATTTAATCCTGTGTTTATGTTAGCCTGAGTTTATAAAAAAGATTTGTGTGTTTAATTTTTGTTTAGATTTTAAATTTAGGTTGATTTTTAGTCTCAAAAGTCAAATTCAAAGAATTTAGAATTAATCCAATATCACGTAATAAAAAAAATTCACATCTCAGATGCATCCGATGTGGATATTCAAATGCAGCAATAGTTGTTTTTTTTGTAATTCCTTTTATCATATTGGCTTCGTTATATAATTTCTAAAAACATTCAGATTTATTTTTAAATAAATAAAAATTGATTCCTCCTAGACTACTTTTAATTCTCGTATTTGGTTTTAGAATAATACAGACTTTGTGGATGCTGACATATACAAAGGAGGAATATTCTTAGGATGCAGCTTTGGAACAGCTGCGATGTATATCTGGGCAGTAGGAATTCTAGCCGCTGGACAAAGTTCCACCATGACTGGTACTTACGCTGGCCAGTTTGCTATGGAAGGTTTTCTAGATCTCAGATGGCCAAGATGGAAGAGAGTACTTCTTACTAGATCTATAGCTATGATACCAACGTTTTGTACAGCTTTCTTCACTTCTTTATCCGATCTCACCCGATTAAATGACTATTTGAATGCTGTTATGAGTCTACAGTTGCCCTTTGCTCTTATACCTACTATTGCTTTCACCTGTAATAAGCAGATTATGGGACAATTCGTAAATGGAATGTAAGTTATTTTTTATATAAATTTTAAATTTAAAAAAAAGACGGTACTGCTAAAACTATGCGGATTTCTAAACTAGTTACACAAGACGAGTCTCAATTTCAAAATATTAGAAGATAGGCCAAACTCTTGATAAGTAATAAATACCACTGATTGCTAGTGAAATATTAAACACAACTCTTATTCATTATGTCTTCTTTTCAAAAAATTACAAATGCGGTTTGTAATTTACATGAACATCTTTAGTTATTGTATTCCAGGCATTTGTTCTATTTCTATGTCAATTTTAATTCAGTAGATTGTACTTGCAGCTAATCAAGAGTAAAATTAAACCAAGTTAAACTAAACCGGTGCTTCTTGCAAAGGATAATCCTAAGTCTATTGAAGCAGTTTTAGTCTCCTTGGCTGTCGTAAGAGATGTACCCAAATACTTGTGACTTTAAAATAAGAAGAGTACATTGACAAAGTAGACACTTTTCAGATGTGTTCGGCGTAGGCCAATAGTTTTTATGTTCTGTTGAGATATAAGCACTAGCTTTTTTGTACAATATATATTCTTAAGAGTTTATACTTATTGTTCTTTTAGTGATATTTCTCTGACGCAGCTTTTCTCATGCCCTGTAAAATCATTTCTAGACCTTCTTCTTCCAATCGTATAATTCCGTTCATTTTTGGCAATATGGCTATGTAGAACTGACTGTCCGAGCAAATCGTTATTTATGATTATGTCCACTTCTCAGAAGAGTATTCTGTATGTTATCAGGAATAATTTTACCACCATTTATTTTTGTCACATTATTTATAATATTTTTCATGATTCCTTAATATTAATTTTTTCATGGTTGTTTTATTACTGAACTAGGTTTGGGAGCTACGACTTTTCTTTTCGTTGATGCTGCTAATTTATATGATCACTTCTCTTACTTAATCGTTTCCATGTTTTTCACAATTTTATTTTATTGATGTGATGTGAATAGCACAAAGGCTCAAAAGTTTTATACTTATGTATAAATATATATTAATCACCACTAAACCATATACTTTTGACTTCTAAATAACATTGCTGTTCCGAAAGTGCCCTTGTAAAAATTAACAAAGCCTATATAAAACATAGCAAAAGACAATTACTTTTTATTCTTTTCTAGTTGTTAAATGTCATTGTTACCCAATGAATAACCAAATCTGGATTCTAATAAGTGAGCTGTCTTGCCACCAGCTTAACCCCTCAATAGATGCTGGTCTTTTACTATGCTTTCTCCATTCTCACTAATTATACCTACTTTTCTATTTATTTATTTTTAATTTTAAATTATGTATCCACCCTTTTCTTGGGCCTATATAATAAACAGAAGTCAATTATTGTACTACATACGAGTCGCTAAAAAAATAAAGTATACTAGATTAGTTAAACTTTAATTCTGACTTATCTTTTACCAGGGGTCACGATTGTTTTAAGGTTGGCAGGTAATTCCAAAAAGAGGCAGAAAAATCAGCCTAACTCAGTTAATAACATTAACTCAAAAACTTACTGATACACCGTTATTATTCTTTCGTTAGGAAAATGTACCGCTCACTCGTAATACTCGATCTGAAAATAATACCTTACTGTCCACCGACCGTGTAAGAGACCCAACTTCTGAGTCTCAAAATGAGGCGTCACCAGGAGCGCGTCATTGTCACGAAGTGCCCTTTGCTACTCCATGGTATCGATTGTCTTTTTTTTTATTATAATCCAACCTGTGTTGAACAATGTAGTTTAACTGCTGTATCAGCAACAGGTGCAGTCTCATAGTCCACGTAGTTCAGTTGTTTCCAATAGCTTGTGAAACTAAGTACATTGCAAAGTTTCAAACAAAAAACTGAACCAGCCATTCCATGATGTATTTTTGATGTCAAGAAACCTATCTTCTAAAATAATGATGTTTCTTTTCCATAATATGTCCCCTGAGGTAATGGGGGACTAAATAAAATAATATAACCCAGGTATGTTCTATCTATCTAAAGCGGTGACTAGAAGAATAGGGGCATTTTAAGACACTGCGTGGAGACATTATCAACCTTTTTATGAAAACAGGCTTTTGACAAACTGAGAGATATAGATATTGCCTCCCTGGAGAATGCACAATGGGCCTAATGAAGCCAAAGTGCAGTGACGCTCGACTCATTCTCCAACAGGTTTCTAGTTTCAGTTAAGTTAATTTTAATAGGCTAATTTCCTTAGCCAGAGCTGGATGTTGGAAGAAAACTGTCCCAAACCCAAGACCCTTAAGCAGCCCTCTACCCAATTACTGTGGCATAACCATAGAAACCTAGCTTGAATTTTATCGCCCTTAAAAAAATGGCCTGAAATCCTGAGTCTAGCCGACCCAGGCGAGAACATGGCCCTAACTTCAACTCTAAGTCCTTTCAATAGGCTTGATCTATTAAAAAGAATTATCGATATATAGGGTGTCCCATTAGTGCGTAATGGTTCAATATTTTAATTTGTAGTATAGACACGCTTAACAAGTTTCAAGTAAAAGTTATTTGGTTTTGAAAAATACATATTTTAAAAATATTTTTGGATATACAGGGTGTTGCGTTATTGCCTGGAAATTAAAAATGTATGTTTTTCAATCGAACATCCTGTATTTTATTTTATTTTTAGAAAGATTTGTTAATACTGTATTTAGTCTTTGAAAGTTTTTAGAAAATTTTACAGTGTTGTCAAGCAATTGATTTTTGGTCAGCCACTCGTATAAAGAATACTCTTCATATTTGAGAATATTTATTAAACATGATAATACAACTTTCATATTATTTTTTTTTATTTCCAATAATAAAACAACTATCGATGAATTACGCACTGATGGGACACCCTGTATATATGTTATTAGCTAACATGTTGGTATCGTTGAATAGGTAAATGTATATTGAATACTATGCTAAAATAATATACAGGCTGTTGCAATTGAAAAAATTGAGTAAATGGAACTTAGAATTAGCAATATTTAAGACATGTTCCAAAACACTCTATATAAAATAAAGCAGTTCCATCACCACTATTCGTTAGCTGTGTATTTAATTAGTTTGTATTTTAAACAATTTTGAAATCATTGAAAACCTACCAAAATTTTAGAGTCTGTATCATTTTCAAATTTTATAAAAAAATTAATTTGCTTGGCAACCCTGCAATATTTTCAAAAAAAAATAAAGGGTGAATACAGTATTATCAAACCATTCTAAAACTGAAATAAAATACATTCTATTTAAAAAATATACATTGTTATGCGCCATACAAAAACAAAACACCCTGTTAAGCCAAAACTATTTTTAAAATTTTTATTTTTTTAAACCAATATAACTTTTATTTGAAACTTATTTGCGTGTCAAAACACAAATTTAAATTACGCACTAATGGGATACCCTGTATACGGCTTTCATAACATTATTTGTAAATGTTGAATATTACTACCATTGAAATTTTAATGATTGTTTATTATTAAATGCATTAAATTTTTTTGTTTCAGAGTTCTAAACATCATATCGATTTTGCTAGCAATGGTGATAATTTCGATTAACATCTTCTTCGTATCAGAAAAATTAATTCAAGCTGAACTACCTATATACGGTTTATCGATGATTTGTGTACTTTCAGTATTTTATTTCGCTCTAATCGCATATTTTTCGTTTCACCTATACATTGGATTACGTGGAAAATCAGTAGATAAGGGAAGCATGGTCGAAAAATACGTAATGACTCCAATCAAGACGTCTCCTAGTACAACACCTTGAAAAAAATTCGCCTTCTATAGGTACTCTGCCATTCTTACATGCGTGCCATTTATGGTAATATTGGTTATATTACTGAAAATTAATTGGAAGAGATTATACACTTTTAATCTTGAAGAAAAACTGTTTTATATATGTTACAGTCAAAGCGTAAACTCAGTGAATATAAAATATACATTCATTAGTTGATGTATACACTGGCTAAAGTTATTAATTGAAAGTATCCTACCTTGACTTGTATAAATAAAATAAACTCGGCTACTCTAAATGAATACCTTTCATGAATTCCATGACAACCTTTAAAAAGTTTTTATCAGGTACATGTTGTTGATTAGTAAAAATTGATTGTTTATAAGTTTTTGGTAACTTTTTTGTAACTTTTTGTGTTTAGACTTGTAACTCTTTTATTTTAAGAAATTTGATAGATATAATGTTTTTCTCTTACTCGGTAAATTTAGAATTCATAAACAGTTTCACTTCGAACATAATAAATAATGACAATTTTTGACATATTTTCAAAAAATTAAAATAAGGATATTTCTTAAAATTTCGAAAAATATTTTATAACCAAATTTGAATGAATTTTGACAACTTTGTTACTCTTCGCGTTTTCTTAGCCTCTTAACAATTTTTTTACTTATTCGAATTTCTCAGTTCCGAAAAGACCAGTTAAGATATAGTAAGTTCATCTGCAAAAGTGTGTTTTTTTGTTTAAAAATGTTTTTAATTGGATACCTATATAAAAAAAAATACCTATAAGCTAAAAATATTATGTCATGCTTGATGCAGAGTGGCCCTAGTTTCAACATTTCATAGCAAAAATCGCTGTATATAGGGTGTTCCGCATAAGTACCGACACAGAACAGATGCGTGTTGTGCACCCGAAAATATGATGATTTAACGCAATTTATCTTTATACCAAGTTGTACCCCTAAGGAGTCCCGGAGGCCCAAAATGGGGCAATATATTTTTAAAAAATTTAACTCTGCAACCCTTTAACTTAAAAAATCTATATTTGGTAAATTATTTAGGCGTTTCATGAGTCTTAATTTGGGGTTGAACAAGAATTAATTGAAATATTTTAACGGATGGTTTTGGGGTAACCCACCCTTATAACTATACAGAACTTTTTCTCATCATGGTTACCCCAAAACCACCTTTTAAAATATTTCAATTAAGACTCATAAAACGCCTAAATAATTTACCAATTATAGATTTTCTGAGTCGAATGCTTGCAGAGATATTAATTTTTTTCGAAATTTATAGCCCCGCTTTAGGCCTCCATTACTCATTAGGAATTCAATTTGATATAGAAATAAATTGCGTTAAATCACCCTGTATGGTTTTATCGCGTGACGAAACGAAATTTCAGTGCTACAAATCTAAATTTTCCAATCCATCGTCCAATGAATCGAATTTTTTAAGAAATTACTTACATTAAAATGTTTATAAAATAAATCAAATTTTACTGGATATCCGAGCTCAAGAACAAATCATCAATGTTATTATTTATTATTTTCGAATCAAAAAATGATCATGAACTCTAAATTTGCGTAATGTAAATAATAAAACCATTTTCCATTGTGAAGCGAACTTTAAAGGTGACCCTGTATATTTTAAAGTAAATAACTATATTGTAATATTGACAATAAGATAATTTTACTACTAGAAATGTGCAACAATAATACGGAAAACCTTAAAAGTGATATTATAGTGATATATGTATCTAGTCCAAATCATAATATTGACCTAATATTAAAAATTATCTTCCTAGCTAAGTAAGCTTTAATTTGTGTTTATAATAATATATATATTGTACATATTATAAAACGTATCACCTGCCTTTGTGCTACAATTCGTCTGGACTCCCTAATTTAATTAAGCTAACAATAATAGTTATTTTAAATGTCTGTAACGCCAGCCACTAATAAATAATGGCAACACAAATAAATTTCATGCTAAAATAAAATTTAATGCAAACTTAATGTTTTGACAATAGGGTTCTTGTCCATATATAAAAGATTATTAACTTCATTTTAAAAACTTTATTATTATCTATAATAGTACCGTAAACCGGGGCTACTTGATAAACATATTCATCTTAACATATTAAACATATTCAAGTTTTGTTCAAGTAAAACATATAGCAGAGGCGTCTTGAAAGTAAAAAAAGTTAAAATTAGGTATATGCGATAACCACATAGTAAGGATTAAAGAATAAAACGTGTTGGTTTTAAAATAACACAAAATTTTAATAAATAAACTAAACAGTCTCATACAAAACATAAAAAGGAACAAAAATGTCATGGTTAATAACAAAAATAAACACATTCTTTGAAAAATGCAGATAAATAAATATTTATATAACTACCCTTACATATTCTTAAACTGTAGCTGCCCCACGTCTTAAAATTTTCGGTTTTGTCAGCTTCTTGATTATTTCTGACACATTCACGATTCCTTTATCCTCTGCCAAGGAAAAAATATATGCATCTTTTACTTTACTCTCCCTCAGAAAATGGCAAAAAAATGTACTTTGATTTTCACGGGTTAATATTTTGGCCACATATTTTCTAGTGGTTCCATTTTATGTTGCCATTTGAACAAAAATAAAATCACCACCACTCAAATCATGAGTAAAGCTAGCGTTTATAGAAACATTTAACGAATTTTTGTCATTTTCGTTTGTATTTTCCAAATCAAAGAACAATTCTGGATCTACGTCGCTGTCAGTATCAATAGTCATCCCTTCCATTTCTTTATCGCTATCTGAAGAAGAAGAATCGCGATGAACAATCGACTTACATCGTTTTTTAGAATTTTTTACTTTCTTAGTTGTTGAAACATTTGCAGTTTGAACATTTGAAGTTATTGGAACACTTATTTGAGAAAAATCTTCCCGCGAGATGCTCTTTCCAGCTTCTAGGTTCATTTTTTTTTCTGCCTACAGATTTTTTCAGCCCTTTTACATGTTTTTCGAATGATTACAATGGCTTCCGGTGGTACACCTGTTAAAACCTCTGAAAGATTATCGAAAAATTTGTTGATAGTGTCTTGATTAACTTTAGCCCTGCTTTGTTTTACTGATTGAGATATTCTTGCTGACACAATTTTTTTATATCTTTTCAAGAATTTTTCCATCCAAGTTTCGCCTGGTCTATTTTACCACTTCTTTCGAGATAGTTTTGCACTAAATCTTTAATTTCTTCACTATCACAAGGAAATCTCCACTCAGCTGCAATGCAAATACATTTAACAAGAGTTTTTTCCTCATTATTTGTAATAGCCGTCTGACCACCAGCTGGTTTAGTATGAATGCCTTTTATTTTTCTGTACAATGTAACGTAGGGTGTCATATTTTGTGGCAATGGCTATCAAATTGCCTGGCTCATACTCCAACACTGCCAGTTCTAATTTTTCTTGGGTATAATCGCAATATTTTCTACTTCTGACCTTTCTTTGATATTTGCGTACCATTTTCAAATCACCCCTAAAAAAATAAAAATAAATAATATGAGACGCCCATGTCGGAAAATAAACACCAGATACAGTTTGAGGTTAGAATAGAATTAACAACTAAATAAACTATTAGAGTTTATATTATTTACCCGAGTCTCTGTATAATAGAAAGTATATGAGTGACAAAATAATTGTATTTTCTTACCTCAAACTTGAAAATATTCCTTTCTTTAACAACAATGTTTATCGCATCTAATACCACCTGTTATTTCTAACGTCAGTTTTCAAATGACCCCGTATTTGCAAGTAGCCCCGGTTTACGGTTCATAATATGGGAGAGACATTAGCAATGACCATTTTTAGAACATTTAGATGTTGATGATATTAAATATTTAACATTAGAAAACTTCGAACTGATTCGAATGTTGGCGAACGCACGCGAAAGTCACTATTTGCTGACGTTTGACATCCACAATAATTACTACGTTTGAAATGTACCTCCTCGGGCAGAGCAAGTAGATTTTTTAGTCATGTGACATCGAGTAAACCACATGAATGAAGCAAACGAAGCTTGGATGTATTAAACGAACGGTATCGAGTACTTTTTAAGCGCAGCATATATAAGGCAGGCACTATCTTTATTAAAATCAGTTCTAGAACTTAAACGAACTGCGCATGCTCAGATGTCAAAATAAGAGTGGCGCTAATAGCGTTTGACCCTAAGTGAACTTGTAATACCTCTCTAATAACCAATACTCCATTTGATATTAATTTTGCAATAAAAATAAAATACTTATGTGTGGTATTTACTTATAAGGTATAGAGTACCTAAATAAGTTAAGAACAATTATACATAAATTTAAAAAACTAAAAGATTTGTTAGCACCAGGGCCGACTAAAGGGGGGGCAGCCGGGACTAATTCCCGGGACCCGGACTCAAATGGGGGCCCGGCAACAGCGGCGAGGATTTTTGTTTTCTGTCAGAAGTTCGGCACAAGACAAGAGTGGCAAGTTTTTGGTTGGGGACCTTTTTTTATAGAAAATTCAATTCAAGTAGAGGAGGAAAAGTTTTAGCTTGAAGAGCTTTTTGATTTGTAGAGAAATTGAAGTAAGAGGAGAGAATATTTTTTATTTGTCACGGGGCCCGATCTAGAGAATTGTCCTGAGGCCCGGCCTGGCTCTCGGCGGCCCTGGTTAGCACTACCTTATCATAAAACTTTATATCAGTCATTACTGGAAATTTACATTCTTTGTGGAATAGTGGCATGAAGAGGTGCGTTAAAAACTTAAGTTAATTATGTAGAAACTTATATTCTGTAAAAACACTAGATACCTCTCCGACAATCTCTACTCTGAAACCCAAATACAAGACATCTATTTTTTATATACAATAATTAAATATCTCCTGAGAATCTAAAATCATTGTGAAATATAGGCAGCTAAAAGTATCTTCTTCAAAGTCAGCGAAAAGATTTGTTAACAATGTTTAACTAAACTAGAACCGAACATCCTAAAATTAAATGACATTATGTTTTTATTTATTGTTTTCTTTTTTGTTGATTTATTGTTATATCTTGCCCAAATTTAATTTTAGATATAGTAGTGATTATTATTATTACTAATATTAATATAATTATTATGTTCTACATACTATAAGCGAAACAATTTTTTTTGTACTTATCGTCTTTTTTCCTAACTTTATTGCCAATATATTTATTGTTTTAAATTATTTCTACTTAAATTTTGTGCAAATAAAGTTATTATTTCTACATTATTATTATTAGTATAAATCTTAAATTAATTTTAAATTAAAACTTAAAATTACATCGATAAATTATTAGCTTTAATTTGTGTTTAGGCTTATCCGATATACTAAATTATGGTTATGGATATTTAGTTTTGATTGCGTCTCTATTCTTCTATTTTATTGTTTCACTAAAGTGCTTCAAAAAGTGTATGTATTAACTAATGAATAGTATAAAGTCAGATTATGCATTTTTATACTTATTTTATACTTTGACTAACATTATCCCTAAATGCAAACATTAATTAGTGTATGTATACAAATACATTCACTACAGTTCACGCTTTTACTATAACATGGATACTCAAAACAAACTGCTCAAATTGTATATATGATATGGTCATATCTAGGTATTGTTTCGTATATTTATTTATTTTGTACATTTTTGTTTTTAAAAATAATAAACAATAAAACATAATTTTCATTTATTTATTTTATTTGTAAGAAGATGAAAGTATGTTACATAACTAGTGTGGAAAGGGATATATTTCGCACAAGAGCGAATAATATACGCTATTTAGGAGTACGTAATACTAGACTTTAATTTCGACTTACCTTGTCTAGATGAACGAAAAAAGTTAAAACTTTATTTAGTGCTGATATAAGCTTTTGCAGCTAATATTTTATTGGAAACTAGCTATATAAATTGGCAATTTGCGGATGTCATTTACATTATTTAATTCATCTTATCAATAGGCAGGATTAAAGGAATTTATTCGTAGTACATAAGTTGTACAATAAATGCCTATTAATATCCCTTGATCGCTGTATTTTGGACCAAACTGGTTTGTTACAATTGTATAAATTCACCTAAAAGAAGTCAATGTTTCGATGCGAATTTATTTATATATTCTGTTCCTTACTTTGAAAAAATTAACGAGTCTGCTTCTTATTATAATTAATTCACTAGCAATATTGTTAAAAACCCCTTAATATGACCATTTGTTTTGGGTGGTTATATTTGACGTGAAGGTGGACTTACAACACTAAACCCAAATCCAATACTATGTTTAAATACTCGATAATCTGACACCACGAACTGTATTCAATCAAAAGGAACAGGAGACTTCATGGTTATTAAAAAAAAGTAAAAATTGACAATCTACAAGTTTGTACGATGTTCTAACCTCATTAAGGGTGAATTTGGGTTTAGTGTTGTTGGGGGGTAATAAACCACAATAAATTGAGAATTTGCAGATATTTTTTGGAATACGAAAACATGATACTTGCATCTGTAAGTCCGCCATATTTACAGATCTGCAAAGTTGCCGCCATATTTGCAGATCTACAAAGTTGCAGACGTTCTGTAATCTCACCCTAAATAAGCAACTAAATAAATATTATCAATAATTATATATTTAAAGAGAACCTATGGTTTATTAGAAATAAATAAAGTAATTAAATTGTTAGGTAAGTACTTCTGGCTATTTTGAAGATTATTCAGGAAGATTCTTTAAAAAAAAAGTATAAAATCTTGTTTTTACATTTTAAGACTAAATCATGTTACTAGTGCCATCTATGTTTGAGTTGCTAAAGTCCAACAGCACCTCTCGCTCACTATTAATTAGTTATCTGTATTGAGAGACCCGACTGTTTTATAACTTACTCATAGGTTACGCTAACTGTATTCGAAAAGGATATTTTCTACAAGGAATCTAATATTGGGGTCTATTCTGTAACAATTCCTTTATATTTCATCGGCCTTTAAAAATATTTTCTTCTTTAATTCTGTCATTATTTAAACGGATCTTTAAAATACATTAGAGGACTATCTTAAAGAAATCTGTTTAAATAATGACAAGTAAATTAACGAATACGAAAATATTTTTAGAGGCCGTCAATATTTTAACGGCCGTTAAAATATAAAGGAATTGTTACAGAATAGCCCCCAATATAATTGTATAAAGAACTATAATAGCGTTGTATGATGATTATATAGTAGGGTAACCTTATGGACTTATCATTGGAGGACGATGGATATAGAATGTAGATGGCGACACTGTACTTATATCCAAGTCAGGTCTTTAGGTCATGTCTGTGCTTGAGTATGAATTATAATTTAAAATCTTCTTTTTCATTTATACTTGTCTTCGGTAATGTATTTGTATAGTTAATATTTACTATTGCAAATTATTACAAAAGGGTATTTGAAGGTCACATAAAATACCCAAAAAATCAATATAATAAAATAAACCAGTTTTTGTTTGAAAAAGATTGAATGATTTAAGATTGGATGGAATTTTACTATAATAGGGGAACATTTTTTTTTCTATATTGTGGTTGGATTTTGGATTGATCGCTGATGGTTAATTAAAACTTGAATTTTACGCTGTTTATTTTTATTCACTTTTATATATAATGGTATCAAATTAAGAATAGGACATGAACAACTGAAGATTGTTGTTCAAAATGAGTCGAATAGACAAAAATAAAAAATGCTTGGATAAAATATTCTGAAATACAGGATGTTAAGTTGAAAATTAAAAAATTAATAACAGTTTTTTTTGCTGTTAGGTAAACTTATAATACCAAACACTTTTAGTGAAATTATACTAAGTAATAAAAACATTTAAGCCACTAATTTTCAGTTTTCAACTTTTATCACCATTTGAAAACGAATCGAGTACCAATTTATGATAGCACAGTAGCACATTTAGGAGTATTATTTTCGAAAGGCAAAATTACAAATTTTTCATTTATTTTTTTGTACATGGAAATACTTTCCTGCATGCCCTACAGTGATGAAGCGCTCAACAAAGGCGTCTTAAAAAATAAATTATAGAAAATGCGAATGTTACATATTTGATTAGATAATTAACATTGACATAAACCTTCATTGCTCAGGACGTTAAGTGCTCAACTTTGGATTTCATAAAGTTCAGTTACCGACTACTACTATTTTTTCTGAACTGTTATCAAAATACTATAAAGTTTAGCAGAAAGATTGCATTAATTGTATTTTTTATATTTTTTCCAAAATAAAAAAGAATGTTTTTATGTGTAATTGAATCCGGGTTGGGAAATCCAAACTTGAACGCTTAACGACTTAAGTCTTGAAGGCACTTATGTCAAGTTAATTATCTAATCAAATATATGACGTGGCTTTTAAAAATACCATCATTGTGCGCTCCACTGCTGGTGTGTCCATCTTCTACAAGAGAAAAAGAAGGAAACATTTGTAAAGTTGTCTTGCACAAATGTGTACCAAAAATGGGCAACTGGCTCTCATAAGCCTTTTTCGTTTAATCGTCTCATTATTTGAACACTAAACGCCAGCATGGGAAATATATGTTAAAGTTAGTTTTAAGAACTTTTAACATTTAAATAAACAAACACAATTTATAAATCTATTATTAAAATCCGCGTTGGAACAAAACATGTAAAATTGTTGAATTTGAAAGATATTCTAAAAAGGGAAAGGACTTTGGTCGAGAGCCTATTGGACAGAATATTCAGTTCAATCAATGACAATTATTAATATTACTATTCTTAAATATTTTGTTGTTTAATTTACTTGTAAATTTATGTGTGAATATATTTATAAATTACACTGGTCACCAGTGATTTTGTGGACGGGGGTTTAAGAGCGTTTTTGGGCGATCGTTTTACCGATTTCAAATCGCTTCTCCAGCCTATAAATCTTCAATTTAAAAAGAATAAAATAAAGTAGTTGTCTAAAACTAAAATAAATTTGCTATCTCGATTATTTCCAAACTTTTCCTTAACGCCTTAGTTATAAGTTTCATATTACATTTTTTTTATTTGCTATTTCTGTGGAATCATTACTTTTCACTTGCGTTATTGTTATTCTAAAAAGGCGAAATGTTACTTACGTTTTGCTTGATTGGCTTTTTATTTTTGAGATAGTCAACCAGTCGAAATAAAAAAAAATTCAAAAAATAATAAGACATATTATTTAATCAGTTTTGTCTGAGCCCCGGTCTGAGCTAACTAAAAGGCTGTATTCTATAAACAATGAAAAATAGTGATTGTTTTTTGAACTACTTAAAACATTTTCACTCAAACTGCGTGCGTGATTCAATTTAAAAATACTTTCCAGAATAAAACTACGTGTTACAGTTTTGACTTTATTACTAAACAGCCCAGTCATATACAAAAACATTAATCCAAAATCTAAATTAAAAGTACCTAATAATAAATTGCCTATCTACTAGGGTCGGTAACCAAACGTATAAACAGAATGGGCGGATTTTGTTCATACTTAACATTACACTCCGCACTGACACTTAACCTGGATTAAATATAACTATAAATACAAATATTTACAAACAAATATACTTTTCCAAACAGTGATAATTTATAAAAAAAATGTTTTTATAAGATTTTCTTTTATGTTCAAAGTTAGGACTTTATAATTATTGTGTCGCTCATACAATTCTGTACTAAATAAGAGCACTGATTTTGGAAATAAATTTTAACCATTTTGGCAAGTTGTTGAACCTTGTAACATTGCATAATGAAATATAAAGACTAACTGAATATGTCTGCCACAGATAGACCACTTGTAGGTCTATCGATTTCGTCTTGAGCTATTCCTAAAGAGTGGAGCTATTGAAAACTTCCTTTCAACGTGATTTATTTCAACACTCAGAGCCAGCCGAGAGAACATTTTTTCTTATATTCATGGTCAACAGCCAAGATACATTTGGAAGTCGCTAATATATCCCTGTGACTATTTTTTTTTAATTTGTTTTCCAGTGTTGATTGTTGATTGATTTTTCCCTGATTAGTGATTTTCTTGTTCCTTAACTCAATACCTTGCAAACTGTTGATAGCTTTAATTAAATTTTGTAGCAAAGCTTGTTCAAATTTTGAAAACTATAAAAATATTCAGCTATTTTTATGGTTATAAACTTTTCCAACACTTAGTCCAATTAGAGGTACTTAGATTACATGCAACATTTTCAGAAGCTTATTCCTTTTTTGTATTCTACTTGGAACTTTTCAATTTATTTAAAACATTGGACATTGTTATCAGTTGTTATTGTTTATATATTTTGACATAACCGCACATAACCAAAATATTGACCAAAGTCCTTAACCACTTTTTATCACCTTAATCCAAAAATTATATTTGTACGGTTTTGTCAACTGGAATAAATTTTCATTATTATGTTTAATTTTTCATATCTTTTATTATGAATTGTTATTTTTAAATAAATAAAGACGTTTTTGTGCCTGAACGAAAAGAAGACGTAGATGGCGTATTTGCATAGCATTAAAAATTGACTACTTCATTAAATCGTCACTAGATGCCGCTCGAGATTGCGTCCAACACTTTTTACTGTTGCATTATCCTACTATATTATCTTCATACAACGATAATAGGATAATCGCCATGTAAAAGTTATTGGAGGCATCGCGCCCGACACCTATTGGTACAATAATTGAACTAACGATTTTATTTGC